GGGGCAAAATAGAGTTATGAAAATAGAAAGATCACCATGTGGAGTTGTTCTAAGCTTATGGTTTAAGCTATTCATACCAATCACATTCACTATGCCAATTTTATAGGGTAAAAAGCAACAAAAGAATTGTAGCCACTTAATCCAGTCTAATTGGGGAAAACATTTTAGAGAAAATGTTTAAAAAAAAAATCAGAAATTCAATTCTTTTTCTGGGTTCAAGTCAATTTTTCTAACGTCTTTCGTTATTTTTTCAAAATTGCCCAAATCCTTTTTATTCGTCAAAATCACCATTATTGAGTTTGAGTAGTCTAGTTTCAAAGTAGAACTTCCAAATTCGCGCACTCAAATAATAGGATTGGAATATATTCGCCCCTCAATTAAAACAAAAATTATTTTTTAAATTATTAATAAAAATAAATAATTTATTATTTAACATATGATATTATCATATGTCTGAACTCCATCTGCTACCTAAGTATGTGTTCAGTGAAGAAAAAAACACTGACGTGTAACAAAATGCCTAAAGATTTCTGCATCTCAAAAATTTCTAAAGCTACAGTCATTTTTTTTTTTTTAACAATAGAAAAAGTTATAAAGCTATTGCTAGATCTTTTATTAATAAAAAAAATTTCTAACATACTTACACCTTTATTAGTTTTCTTAGCGAGGTAGCTATCTTTAGAGAGACCTACTAAAAAAATTTTTATCCTCAGCCACAAGACAAAATGCCCCCAATTATTTTGCTCTTGTAAAGGAGCGAACCCTATTTAAAAATTTAACCAGATTATGAACGTGAATACTTACATATTATTATAGTAATAGTATTTACGCCCATTAAAAAAATAATAGTGGTATTTACTTTGTTTTGATCTATTGATATCGATAATAATTTCAAATATTTGCTTCATCATTTCAGATCAAATTAGTTGTTCAAACACAATGGCGGAACTCATCCTGTCCGTGGTTGCTGAACCTCTTTTGTCAGCTACTTTTGATTGGATGCTCAAGAAGTTGGGTGGTTTCATTTTCAGCAATTCTCAGGGATTACAGGAAGAGGTCCTGGATAATTTGAAAATTTGGAGGACCTTGCTTCCGAAAATCTGTGGTTTGCTCAGAGATGCAGAAGAGAAGGAACTCTATGACAATTTCGTGAAGATCTGGCTTGATGATCTAAAGGACTTGGCTTGTGATATGGAGGACATTTTTGAGGAATTAAAGGCTGATATTGATGTTCAGAGGAGAAACTTGATAGCAAAACCTCAACAAGCCAGCAGCAGTAAATTTATCCCAACTACATGCTTCTCTTGTTTCAAAGGCAATGATTTCAAGTTTGATTCCGAAATTATTTCTAAGGTGAAGGATATTTCTAACAGGTTGAAAGGCATGGTAGACACATCCACTGCACTAGGACTAGTGAGTTTAAAAGTGCAAGTTGGAGAACGGCCCAATAGAGGAGATGCAGTAAGGCTCACCACTTCTCTGCCTGATTCTCATGTTTGTGGTCGAGAGAGTGACAAAGCAGACGTTCTTCGGCAGTTGTTCAATGATGAAGGGAGTGATAAAGGATATTCTGTAATTCCCGTTGTTGGAATGGGAGGTGTTGGAAAAACAACATTGGCTCGACTTGTTTACAATGAGGTGGAGGAGGGATGCTTTGAACCTAAAGTCTGGGTTTGTGTGTCCAATCAATTCGATATTTTGAGCATAACAAGAACAATTTTAGAGGCAGTATCTAATGAGCGGTGTGATTTGAAGGATCTTAATCTGCTTCAAGAAGAATTGAAGAAAAAATTATCTTCTAAGAAGTTTCTTCTTGTTTTGGATGACGTTTGGAACGAAGGCTCAGTTCCATGGGACACCCTGCAAAAACCTTTTCAATTAGCATCAGCTGGAAGCAAAATAATTGTTACAACTCGTAACGAGAATGTTGCAAAAACCATGGATAGGAAAGCCAAGATTCACCGGTTAAAACCATTAGAATTTGAACAATGCTTGCCAATTCTAGCTCAGCAGGCATTAGGGGAGAAGAACTTTGGTGCACATCCAAATTTGAAAGAAGTTGGTGAAGAAATCGTTGAAAAGTGCAATGGATTGCCGTTAGTTGCCAGAGTCACAGGGGGCCTCTTACAACGTTCGCTTGACCGCGAATATTGGAAATACATAAACAATAAAATGTTGAATTTACAAGCACAGGAAAGTGGGATTCTAGCAGTGTTGATGCTGAGCTACCATGATCTTCCTTTTTATTTGAAGCAATGTTTTGCATATTGTGCTTTGTTCCCTCAAGACTACCCATTTAAGAAGGATGAGTTAGTTATGTTGTGGATGGCAGAGGGACTCTTGTGGCAAAAGCCGGGGGAACAAAATAGATTGGAAGAAATCGGGCATCAATATTTTTGTGAGTTACTTTCAAGATCATTTTTTGAGCAGTCTAGTGGGAATGAATTAGTGTATGTAATGCATGATCTCATACATGATTTGGCTCAGTTTGTTGCTGGAAGAACATGCCACAACCTACAGACTATGTTGGAGGTTGATAAGAAATCTGAAGTGAAATTTGAGAAGGTTCGACATTTATCATTCCATTGTAGTTTTTTTGACATCTCTGAGAAATTTGAAGTTCTGAAAGAAATGAAGAGTTTACGGACACTCATTGCTACTAATCCAGGAGCTCATATGTGCTATTTAGCAAAGACAGTGGTGCTTGATATGATACCAGAATTAAGATGCTTAAGGGCATTATCTCTTCGGGGTTATTATATAGAAAAGCTACCAGATTCAATCAGAGATTTAAAATGTTTAAAGTACCTTGATTTGTCTGAAACTAGTATACAAAGTCTACCTGAATCAATAGTTTTCCTCCTCCAGTTACAGACATTGTTGTTATTCAACTGCGAAAGCTTTTCAAAGCTTCCTGTGACAATTGGGAACTTAATTAACCTCCATCATCTGGACCTCAGAGGAACAGATTCCTTAGAAGAGATGCCATCCGGAATAGCTAACCTCAGAGATCTTCTGACATTGGGAAAATTCATTGTGGGGAAGGAAAATGGATCAGTTAAACTCTCTGATTTGGAGAACCTTTCACAACTCAAGGGGGAACTATCTATTCTAGATTTGCATAATGTTTCGAATGCTCATGATGCTAGGAAGGCCAGCCTAGGTAAGATTGATGGTCTTGATTGGTTGCTCTTGCAATGGACTTCTGATTTTGGCAATTCTAGGAATGAAGACAAGGAAATAGAGGTCCTTAGCTGGTTAAAACCACATCTAAAATTGAAAAGTCTCTCAATTATTTGCTATGGTGGCAAGGAATGGCCGTCCTGGATTAATTGTCCGTTGTTTTCTAATTTATCATACTTGAAGCTGTGTGAGTGTAGAAGAAGCCCTTCATTACCATCACTGGGGCAATTACCAGCACTCAAAGAATTGATTGTGGAAGGCATGGACGCAATAGAATCGGTGGATTCTAAGTTTTATGGGCATGGCACTTTTCAATCTCTTGAGAAGTTGGAGTTTCGTGACATGTTAGTGTGGGAAGAATGGACTTCTACAATGGGAGGTGGAGTGGGATTCTCATGTCTTCATGAGCTTGTGATTGAAAATTGTCCTAAGTTGATCGGACAATTACCCAGTCAGTTGTCTTGTGTTATTAATCTTGTGATCAGAAGATGCCCAGAGTTAAGATGCCCATCATCTATGAATCTTCAGTCACTACAAAAGCTGAATATTGAAGACTGCAATGTGGCCTTTTTGAATAGCTTGGCTGATCTCATCTCTCTTACTAGCTTGGAAATTAAAAGAATTTCAGGACTTGTTTGCTTGGCTAGGAGTTTTATTGAGTCCTTGATAGCAACTGAGAAGGTGGAGATTAAAGAATGCCTCGAGCTTACTTGTTTATGGGAGGAAGGTGCCGAGATAGAAAACCTTGCTCGTCTTGAGAAAATGAACATTGAAAGCTGTCCTCTTCTTGTCTCATTGACGGGGAAAGAACATGGCCTTCTTCCTTCCAATCTTAAACATCTCACACTTTCAAGGTGCAAGGCTTTAGAGTCATTAATTGATGCGATGATGATGAAGGTAGATGGAAGCAGTAGCAGCAACAACATGTTGAGACTTGAATCATTAAGCATCTACAATTGTGATTCTCTCAAGTCTTTACCCAACACCACGGTTAAACACTTGACAATTAATGCATGTGTCAATTTTGAGTCTTTACCAGATGGACTATTATTGCAAGATGATGGTGATAGCAATAGCAATCTTGAATCTCTGAGTATAGAGGGACTTCCTTCTCTAAATTCTGTTGGAAGTGGTCATCTGCCAGCTTCTCTCAAGGAATTTATTATTTGTGGTTGCAAGAGGTTGGAATCATTTCTAGAGAGAATGCTGCAACATTGTACGGGACTTGAATCCCTTCGAATTTGGAATTGTGAAGTATTGAGAAGCTTATCACTTGATGGCCTCAGCAATCTTCGTGATTTGAATATTATAAGGTGTGCAGTTTTAGAATTCTTCCCAGAAATGGGCCTCTCCTTGCCCAATCTTAGGTATTTGAGAATTGCAGACTGTCCAGGGTTGGAGCGCATTCTAGATGGGGGTTTTCCCCCAAACTTAACACATCTTGAATTAGACGGTGAGCATCTGAAGCAGCCGGCAGTGAGACGGGACATCCGCAATCTTACCTCTCTTCAAAGCTTTCACATTTATAACACGTGTCCTCCTCTTCAGGATATTGTGCTTCCTTCTTCTTTAATATCTCTGGAGATAAGAAATGCAAAGAATCTGGAATCCATACCCAGAGGGCTCCTCCAAAACCTCAACTCTCTTCAAGAATTAGAGATTTGGAGTTGGCCAAAGCTACGGTCCTTGCCGAGGGAAGGCCTGCCTCCGTCGCTTGGATCCCTCTTCATCAATGAGTGTCCGCTTCTAAAACGACAACGCTTTGAGGAGAAAGGAGAATATTGGTCTCTCACCCGTACCATCCCTCTAGTCGTAATAGATGGTTATGAGGTAAAACCTACACTCAAACTCACACTCTGACATAGAGACAAACAAGGATAGCCTCTTCTTCTTCTTCTAATTGTTGGAAGCTAACTTTTCTTACACATATTCATCAGCTATAACCACCAAAGCCAATTGTTACCTGAGGAGTGAAATCTGGAATGAAGCTACAGACTTATTATTGAGGTATATTTCTTTTCTTTTTAATCGCTTAAATTATAATATATCTGCATATATTGTTGCACTACTTCTCTTTTTATTGATAAATTTGGAGAGCTTGATTC